TTATTTAAGATCAGAATATGGATAGAAACATTCATTTTCACCTACGCGTAGGGCCCAATTCATGATTCTGCGCAATGAAAGCTATTCTGAATAGAAAATTAGTACAAAAGTAGGTTGTAACAAAACAGTTGTGTACACAGATTTCGTGAATTCAGGAACATTTAGCTACAACGACACGTCTATAGAAAACCTATGCTAGAGATGATATCTTTATGAAGCAGATTGCTACAATAACCCCCAGCAAGTTCTTATCAATAGATACATGCTGCTGATCTGGTACAAAATATTAAAAATGCCTTGGATTGATCCGATCACTCATTAATTATTTGTTACTGTGTTGTATTTAACCTTTAAAAAGTAAAATAACAAAATTGCCTGAAACATTTATTATTGACTATATATATTTCTAATAATTAACTGATTTATTTTTAATCCGATAATTTTATTATTTCAAGGGTTATTATAGTACATTTAAATTAGACGCCCCGTTTATGCATTAAACAGTCTCTACTACGTTTATCGATCTGCGCCTTCAATAAACCTTCGTGAAGATATATATATATATATATATATATATATATATATATATATATTAATATATTAAGATATATTATATATATATATATATATATATATATTTTTATGATCAATCCTTCATTTATGCATGTTTCATTAAAACGACAGACAAGGTACTACGGTTAAGCTTTTTATTTAATTTTTCTTGTGTTTGCACAATAGTCTTCTTTTTTGGGAGACAAAGTGTGTAGAAACAGTCCAAATGTTTTATAGTTCCGAGCGCTTTTGGCTAAACTTTTAACCATCATTGAGGATGATTTTTCAATTTAATTGAATGTGTGCGTTATGTTTATGCTTTTAGTGTGTTATAGAGGGGTTTTATTTTCTGAACACGTTTAGCACATTGTACCCTATTTCGTAGTTAATATTGTTAAGAGTTGGCTTTTTCTTTTTTATTATTAGGGCTTCCATTAGTTTTTAATCTTTTTTACAAATGGGTGTGGTTATTATGTTTTTGTTTTCTGCTAGTATGTTTCGAATGGAGGCTGGTAGGTTTGTTTGTGTATTTAAATCGGTTCTAATGGAGCTCAAGTCGGATAGATGTAACGTAAGGCGCCTGGATAAGCATGTAGTTGTGTGACCGATGTAATTATTTGTGAGTTCGGTTTGATCAGGAACGCAGTACCTTAAGGGGCATTTGAACTCATAGATAATGTTTGTTCGTTGTAATTTTGATTTAGCTGGTGTGTTGTTGTATTTGAGGATAAGGTTAGCTGTCTTAAATTTTTTATAGTAGATAATTTGATTTTTTTTTTATTCAGGTCGATTGGGATAGTGCATGACATTATAATATTTCTAAGTGAAGTTTCGACTTGTTTGTAGTTAATGTGCATTTGGTTTTTGTAGAAAATATTTATGTAATTTTTGACTGTATGTTCACTATCGTTATTTAATTTGGGGAGAATTTTGTGGTCTATAAGGTGGCTTCAGATCTATAGAACATTTGATCATTTGGACACTGTGTCCAAAAAAGAAAGCTCTTGTGTGAACACAAGAAAAATTTCATAAAAAGCTTAACCGTAGTACCTTGGCTGTCATTTCCGATGAAACATGTGTGTGTGTGTGTGTGTGTGTGTGTGTGTGTGTGTGTGTGTGTGTGTGTGTGTGCGTATTAACCATTTTGTGGATTAGTTTTTATATTTTATATTACTATTTTTAATTTTGTCGACTGCACAGTATAATTGGGTCAGTGGAGCATCATCTGTGAGAAAAAGAGCACCATAACGCAATTCACCCCGCCAGAGATTTGGAAACAGTAGGCTATGCTTCTTGGCATTCGCACCGGAAGCTCAGATATGAACATTACTCATTTTTGGTGTCAGTCCGAGAATAGTCCAGAGGATTCAAAAAGAGTTGGATGAATCAAACTGTGATTACGAAGGTACGGCATCTCGGAAAACTCATTTGATAATGGCTAAAAGTATAGCCGAAAGCACTCGGAAATGCACAATATTTGGACAGTTTTTATACACTTTATGTCCAGAAAAGAAAACACTTGTATGAACAGAGATTTTATATCTTTAGGCACTCATTTTCTGAGACTAAACTAAAACATCCGAAAACTCTATCAAAGAAATTTTAGGAATTGAAGAAGAAAGGTTTGAGCCTACAAATAATTAGGAAGATTATAGTTTCCGCACGTACTCCTAATAATCTTAGAGATAGGTGTGACTTATATTTAGAAGAAAAAAATTAGAATAATAAAATAAAATAATCAAAGCCAACTGTTGAATCAGAGGAATGAATTAGTATTGAAATGTTGACATAAAAACAAATTCAAATTTCGATAATATAGGTTTAACTTAATTAGCTACTATATTTCTATAATATTCACTCCCCTCTAACTCTTCAAATGTTGAATGTATAACGACTTCAAATTTCTATATTTCCCCTGTATAAACTCTTTACCTATATTAATTATAATTTATAAACTTCCCCTACTCTAATATCTCACCAACTCACTTTCCATTAATCGCTTACGTCCTTTTATCTATATATTTTAAAGTTATTTTAAAAACACCTTTGATTCCTCTTTTAATATTAAATTAATATTTTATTCTTCATATAATCCCAAAATGATGTCATGATGGTAATATTCCTGTTTAAATTTTATAAAACTTCTTCCCTTTAAGATAAATAACTTCCAGCCCCTGACCCTTGTCTCGTGCCTTTCGTCTGACTGAAACATTGAAATGCATAAATTCTATATTAGGTTTTCGACTACATTTCTTTTTTTTTTTTCGTTTTCACAGTTAAATTTCTATTTCTTACACGAACTCAATTCACACCGGACTTGAAAAGACAGACGACCGATATATTCGTCTGCCGAAATAGATTATTCTGCATATGAGGTGATTTGGTATTTTATTGTTTATTAATATATATATATATATATATATATATATATATATATATATATATATATATATATATATATATAATGGACTTATTTTATTTATTTGTTTAAACGTTATTTTTAATGGATACTCATATTTGAGAAGATGCTCTGTTTTTATTTATTTATTAAACAGTATATTTATTTATTTGCATCTACCGGCCTAATGCTCAAAAATAAATAAATAAAAATGTCGGATTTAATCCTTTTCTAAAAAAACTGTCTTTATTGACGTTACGATACGAAACAGAGCAGATCTTCATATTTCCAGAATTAGGAAGATATGTATTCAAAAGCACTATTCGGGCGTTGTTTCATCTGGAAAGCCTACATGACCGAGTGGTTTAAGGACGCAGGTTAAAATCTTGCCAGTGGCCGCATATTTTTCTAACATGATTTCTGGAAAATTCATGCCGCTAGGTATATATATATATATATATATATATATATATATATATATATATATATATATATATATATATATATATATATATATATATATAATATATATATATATATATATCGCATAATATATATATATATATATATATCATAATATATATATTGCATAATATATATATATATATATATATCGTATAATATATATATATATATATATATATATATATATATATATATATAAATTCATGAATCATTCATACAATAAAACAAATAGAGAGGTTAATGATTTAAATGACGAGAATACATCTTCGCAAAACAATATCAAAAAGATACACCAACCCCGAACCTGTATATGAATGATATGATCCCTGTTTATAAATTTCAGTTGCATACGGTCTTTTTAATTTTTTACAAGCTTTCGTCTGTTCCTACAGACATCCTCAGGTATGAAAATAGATTTGTTCTTGCTTTTACTTCTCGGTAATAAGAGGATAACGAAAATAGAGATGTAATCCGAAAAAATGCTATGCTAAAATTAAAAAGACCTTATGCAACTGGAATTTATAAACAGGGATCATATCATTCCTATACAGGTTCGGGGTTGGTGTATCTTATTTATATTGTTTGCGAAGATGTATTCTCGTCATTTAAATCATTAACCTTTATATTTGTTTTATTGTATGAATGATTCATGAATTTATAAATTATAATTCTACCTTTATTGAAATATATATATATATATATATATATATATATATATATATTTGTGCGTGTGTATGTGTGTAGTATAAGTGGATACATAATATATATGTATGTATATATATAATATCTTTAATACATATATGGTAATATATATATATTATAGTGGATAATTAATGTATATATATATATATATATATATATATATATATATATATATATATATGTATATTCTAGTGGATACATCGTAATATAAATATCTATTGTAATGGATACATATACATACATACATGTATATATATATATATATATATTTATTAAAAGACATTTTTATGTTTAACGTTGTTGTTTATAGATACAAGTATTTAAGCAAATGCTCTGTTTATGATAAACAGTATTAAATAACATTTACCGGCCTGAATGTACGAAAATTTTCATAGAAAATATTCGTTCTTTGACAGGATTCGAACCTGCATCCTATACGGAACTGACGTGCCTTAACCGTCTCGGCCACAAAGAACCTTTAATACTGTTTATCATAAACAGAGCATTTGCTTAAATACTTGTATCTATAAATAACAACGTTAAACATAAAAATGTCTTTAATAAATAAATTGTCGGACCTTGTCCATTTCTTAATATATATATATATATATATATATATATATATATATATATATATATATATATATATATATATATATATATATATATATATATATATATAAGATTAAATTATTAGAATGTTTTAAATGATAATAATAATTTACTGATACAAGTCTTACCAATGGTGTAGAAGAAGTGGCTTTATAACTTTGACAGTATTATTTGCTCGTATGTAAACACAACCAACCAAACTGAAATTGGAACTTTGCTCTCGGATTTCTAATTCTGAACGTTATCCATTACACCACCCGCACATCCAAGTTTGCAGCACTTCGTATTCCCAAGCTGTTACACATCTTGGTAGTAACCAGACTTTGCTTATCTTAACTTCGGTGATCATACGGTAACCGGTGTTTCAACGTGATATGGCCTTAAGCTTAACCACCATTGGTAACCCTGTGCTTGTGACCTTGTGCTCAAACTAAGTCACGTTCAGTAAATAGCAATTTAACCCTGGAAATAAAGAAGGTTCAAAATTACTTTATTCCGCTGACTGAGAACATTCCGAGGTGGGATTATTACAGTAAATCGCCTAAAATCCAATATTCGTTTGAGGCAGGTAATTATACTAAGCAAAAGAAAATAATGTAAGTTATTTCAACTGTGCAAAATATTTCGCTTGGATAAGCTTATGTCTGAATTTTAGCCACAGCTCAAATCAGAATTATATCGTTGAAGAGAAGAGTCAGAATGGAAATAGTAATATGCGATTATTGTGGGCGAAAGTTGAACTTTTGCCAGCCGAGTTTATACATCCAGAATGGCAGAGCTGAAGCCAGACCTCCTGCACGCGACTGTCGAAAGCTTACGCGAAGGGAAAATGGGAGCCATAAAACTGGATGAGAACGCCAACTGCAGTCTTAAGATTTATAAAGAATATTATGATATACTTAAAACTCATTCTGAATATGTCGGTGAAACTTGACTTAAATATTTTGAATGAAGTTTTAGTCATTCCAGTTTTGAGTAAACTTTTCTTCTACTTTTAGCAAATATTTTAGTTGGAGGTGTATAAAATTTCTATAAGCAGAAATAATAAATTTGAAAAAAAAAACTTTTCATATTACAGTGTAACCCGGATATAAGAGAGTTGTCGGGACCGGAGAAGAAGTCTCTTATATCCGGGTTTTTCTTATATCCGGGTTTGGTCTATTTTGTTTAGGTAAGTATGGGAACACTTTGGGACCAGAGAAAATCTCTCTTATATCCGGGTTTCTCTTATATCCGGGTTACACTGTACTATAGCTTAAGCACTAAACGTCACGAATCTGGAGGGATTAATCTATGATAAAATATAACTTTGTTGCGTAATATATACCGCAAGCCACGTAAAGGCCACCCTAATAAGGAATTGAGTATCTAGTCATTTGTACAGCCTGAAGATCGTGAGGCAGTCGCGTAACTATCTAGGTGTCCACAAGAAACTTGAAATTGCGGAAAGACTCTAATAATTGAGTATCATTTCTCTTATATCACATATAAACTTTTGTGAGATCTGTATGGTCCTTTAGGACATTATAGGACTAAATTTCCTACTTTTGTACAACAACACATACTCACGAACAAGGGATACTGGGAATTTTCCTTATTGCTAAATAGCCCTCCCCATATTCATATCTATCTATCTATCTATCTATCTATATATCTATCTATCTATCTATCTATGATAAGATATAATTTTAAGGTATGCTATATTTATGGGTTAAAGTGCTCAATATCAGGAATAGAGTGTACGTAAATATAAAAGTAGACATTGAAATCAACGCCCAGAGGCGACAGTCTGTTTCATTATTAGCATAAAACAGACTGTTGCCGCTGGGTATTGGTTTAAAATTCCCTTCCTCTTATATATATATATATATATATATATATATATATATATATTAGTTAAACCTGAATTTTTTGACAGATATATATATCTGTCAAAAATTCAGGTTTAACTAAAATATATATATATACAGAGAGAGAGAGAGAGAGAGAGAGAGAGAGAGAGAGAGAGAGAGGTTTTTAGTTCTTGTGAGAATGCCAATCCTCTATGGCCATGTACGGCTTTGAATGGGATTTCTTATGGCTAGAGATCATAATTTTCCCTGCTATTCAATTCATGACAAGAGATATGGATTTATTTATTCGTTTCCCTTGGTTTAAATAGTAGGGCCGACTGGATTTTTTAGCCTTGGTGGGAGACCAATCTAGGAGAAAGACGACTCTGAATTTAAAAAACTTGTTTTGGAGACCTTGTGGCACACTATGTGCACCCGTTCTCTGTATTCAGTTCTTCCAAAAAGTTCCACACAAGCCTACATCACTATAATCTAATCATGTGTGTCGGTAGTATAGCGATTCGGTTATAAGAACTGAGCTGCTGGACTATTATACGGCGAAAGTGATGAGAACCAAAATAATATATAAATTCCAACGTTCACAGCATTAATTCAAAAGAGAGCTCAATACCGATAGTAGAGCAATAATTATTTATTAGAATTTTTTTCATATAGACAAAAAAAATTTACTTACTGCAAAGATGCAACTTCGTTTCAGTGCATTTAAAATTGCACATATTGTTTCAATTCGTCACCTTTTTGCCTTTATGTATTTTTTTATTTTCTATTTTTTTTCAAACAAATAGAAAAGAAAGTGACGTTTCACATGCGGCTTGCTTACAAACAGGATTGTTCATAACCATTTTGGTTCTCCCCTGTGAAGTGCAATTTTAAATGCACTGAAACGGAGTTGCATCTTTGTAGTGAGTAAATTGTTTTGTCTATATGAAATATATATATATATATATATATATATATATATATATATATATATATATATATAATAATAAACAAAACAAAAAGAGAGAAAAAACAATAGACATTTGTAAATATATCGAGGAAGGCATATTGTTACAGGCCGAATTAATGGTATATTTTCCACTGTCATCAGAGATAGACATTCTCGTCTACGTAAAAGTGAGAATTTTGAATGCTGATTTTCAAAGCTAGCAATACCACTTCACTTGAAACATTAGCAGTTTTCAACATTCCTTCTCCCAGCACATCACATTTGGCACAGTTCTGAACAAAACTGTGTTTGGAAATTACACGGACTTAGTAAATAAACACGGATTTTGTAAAATACACGGGTTTAGTAATAAATGCTTTATTAGTGCCCGCTGTACTTTTCAGGCAATGACCATTCTCAGCTCAGATAGTTATAAGAAAAGCGATATAGTCACTTTTTTTTTAATAAGCATTTCACTCCAAGCAAGGCTGGAAGCCACTAGCACGCAAGAGTTTACATAGGATTTGGAGCGAGAGCAGATAGGAGTGATAGAGGAAAGGATGAAGAAAAGGATAGCGGATAGATCAGGGTAACTGGATATGTGTACTATTACATTTGAATAGTAGAAGATTATAGCTATCAGGGAAATAGGAAAAGGGAAGGGAGTTCCACAGGTGAGAGGTGCGAGATATGAAGCTATTGGAGTAGAAGAGACGGCTACATTTAACAGTTTCAACAGTGAAAGGATGTGAGCGAGATGCCAGCCTCGTAGGACGCTTAAATTCATGAAGCCTGGGAACCAGCGAGAGCAACTCATCAGAGCAATTACTATGAAAGTATTTGTAAAAAAAGGCAGAGAGAGGCGACGGCACGTCTGTGAGAGAGCGACTGCAGACGAGATGCCAGATCCGGGTCAATTGCATTGCATATCCGTCTCTGGATCTTATCAAGAACCCCGAGGCAAACAGAAGGGGCTCCAGGCGAAAATCGTAACAGATCATTAGGTTATGAAACATGATTTAACCCCTCATTGCAAACAACCGCCTTTATCTAAGATGACTCCCTCCACTCCCTCTCTGTATCGCACTGTCTTTTTCTCTCTCTACGTCATTCTCTCTTTCTGTTTTCATCATAGATGAGCAACACAGTCTGAGTGTGATAGGAATTTTATTAAAAGAACATAATCTATTTTTATTATATTACAAAATGCTTTTTAATTATTGTCAAAAAGTCAGCTGCATTTCAGGGTCGAATTTGTCCCTAACAGGTTAGTAGGTTACGAAACATGATTTAACACCTAGCTACAAAGAAGTACCTTTATCTAAGATGACTCCTCTCTGTGACGCACACTCGTCTTTCTACGTCGCTTGCCGTTTTAATCTCTTTCTTGTCCCTCTCTCTATTTCTATTCCTCTCAGGATCTGTGATACCAAAAATTGACACATAACATACGTACATACTCAGTTACGCGCCATCTTTCGATACATGACTGACGTGGCAGATTTTTTTTTCCCGCAGTAGTTTACCATTTCTTTCTGCAGTAGACCAGTTGGGGGAAGAAGAGGATTTATACCTTTCCCAGGGTATTAGCACGTGAGTGAACGTAATGATTTCGACTGGAATATCGAACTAGGCTCTCCGATTCCTCAATCCAAACCGCTATCCATTACTCCACCGTGCCTCAGCAAACATTGGTTCAATCATATTAATATATACATGAGGATATTACTTATCTGAATGACGTCACCTGAACTTCAGCGCAGGTATTTATCAGCACGCTATTTAGAACAGAATATGGCACAAAGTTGTATTTATTTCCCAGTTCAATAGGAGAGACAGTGTGTGTGTATGGGGTGGGACATGGATCACAGAACATATTTTTTCTATTTTTTAACTTGATTAGGAGTAAAGAGAATTAATTGAAAGAATGGAACAAAAACAGATAAAAATAGGGACGTTAGCCTATAATTCTCCCCACTTCAATAGGTTTTAATGCACTTCTTCAATGTGCTGTGACCATCAAGGATATGAGCTATCATAGCTTTCCACAACTTCCTATCCTTTGTAGCATTTAGCAATATTTGTCTTTTTACTATCCTTGTTCTACCATCCGTGGACACATCTTTTAATAGGTTGTTCATTATTTCCCTGTCTCTTTTGACTTCGATGTCCTGTAAGTGTCAAATTTTCCGAGCCTTCTTTCCTCATTATGTGACCAAGTGTCTCTTTTTGATTGTAAGTATAAGGGATTTTTTTGTTTTCATTTTCCTTAAAACTTCGTTATCACCTTTTTTTTTGTACAAAAAAACCCCCCAAAAAACAAAACAAAACAACAAATCTACCGGTGATAGTGGTGCATAAAGGGGAATAATTCGTGGTCGAACGAAGTTTTCGTTCAAATTTGCTTTCACAGAACATCCTTCAACCGTCTTGGGTCATTGTTGAAGCGAATCGATTGAACTGTTTTCCTGATCGTTCACGAAATAACCTTTAACAACGTTTGTTTACGGCTGCACTAAAGTGTACCGTTGTATTCTTCGAATTTCGCTGCCCACCCCCATTACGTATCCTCTGACTATCCCCCTCTTCCCTAGAGTCATTGCTATCAACACAATTCCTGACCTGACAGACACCCCTCTCGCATCAGCATTCCTTCTTTGTCTTCAACTGCAGTAATACATCCTATTCTCCTCGTCCTGGGGAAACTCCTGCCCTCCAAAGCGCGCCTTCGCCTCAGACGTTACTCCCGCGAGCTGTCTGCGCAATACAAAAACTTAGCCTCAACAGCATTCCGAACCTTTGGAAATTTCCCTGGAGAGGAGAATCCAGAAATTCAAGATGATCATCAATCGTCCGATGCTGCTCTTCTTTCCATCGGTCTTCTTCTCTCTGGCACCTCAGCTCCAGCACCTAGGGAGCCAGATAAGCTTTTAGGTTACGCCCTTCTATGTACACTAATAAAGATCCCCTAGATCTGTATGAGAGAAGGGGTGATAGTGGCGGGGATTTCGTAGAGAACGTGAAGTGATGGGAGTAGGTATATCTTGCACTTGTTGGTAGTGATACGTCCCAGGGTATTATTCGGTCGTGTGAAGTTGACTTTATTGACAAAACAATAAGACGTAACGAGAGACAGACAAGATGAGAAAACCAGACCCGTTTATTTTTACTGAGTCAATAATCGAATCACTGGCACTGTTCGCTTGGGCCAACGAGCGCGCGCACGCGCATGCGCACACACGCAAAGAAATGAGCAAATAGTTAAATAAGAATACATTCGTGTTTGTATAGATAAAGAGATTAGGCCAATCGAAAGAAAGATGAAATGGTGGTGACAATAGGACGATTGTGTTGCGTCTGTCATGATGTATATATAAAGGTTTATAGCCAAGAATAATTACTTTCCTTTGATTCTTTCTTTTATTCCTGTACTTCCTTTTCATCATTTCCTCCTCCTTTTCTTTACATTTTTGTGTTCTTCCTTCTTTTTCTTCATTTTGTCTTTCCTTTTTCGTTTCCTTCTTCCTTTTCCTTTTTTCTTTCTTTTCCTTCCGCTTTCTGATTTTTCATTTCTATCCTTCCATATTTTTCTTCCTCATTTTTTACTGCTTTTTCTTCATTTCTGTCTAACTTTTTCTTCCTTCTTCATTTCTTTTACTTTCGTTTTCCTTCTTCCTTTCTTTTATTTTCCTTTTTCCTTTCTTTTTCCTTTTTCTTCTCAGATCCCTTCTTCATTTCTTTTCATTTTCTTTTTCCTTCATTTATTTTTCTTTTCCTATTTCCATTCTTTTTTCTCTTTTTCCTTTCATTTTTCTCTTTTTCCTACTTCCGTTCTTTTTCTTCTCTTTTCCTTCTTTCCTTTTACTTTATTCTAAAACCTTCACCCAATTACAAAGTTAAACTAGATTATATGAAGCAAAATGAAAAAAAAACAAAACATGCATATCCAAACAGTTTTCAACAACTAAACAAATTCAGTATATATATATATATATATATATATATATATATATATATATATTTTTTTTTTTTTTTTTGTTAAGCGTGTACAAAAAAAGGTGATAGCGAAGTTTTAAAGGAAATGAAAACAAAAAAAAATCCCTTATACTTAGAATCAAAAAAAAGAGACACTGGGTCACATAATGAGGAAAGAAGGCTCAGAAAATTTGACACTAACAGGACATCGAAGTCAAAAGAGACAAAGGAAATAATGAACAACCTATCAAAAGATGTGTCCATGAATGGTAGAGCAAGAATATATATATATATATATATATATATATATATATATATATATATATATATATATATATATATTGTATTGGGGCATCAGATCATTATTCAAACATATTGTTAGATATAACAGACAACGAATGTCTATTATGTTTGATCATGAGCCGTTGTAAACTTCGTATATTTGCTTTAATTTCGGGAGAAAATAAAGACAAAATTGTTCAATATTACAGAATATCATCTTTGATGGTGGATATCTTTGTTTAAATGTCCATATAACCACTCTGAAGATGGTTCTTGGGAGGCGAAAGCTTAGATCACGGAACAGCATAATAAAAAAATATACAAATGTTGGACAATTTATTTTCTCCCAAAATTAAAGCAACTATACGAAGTTTAGAACGGCTCATGATCAAAATAAAAAATATTCGTTGCCTGATATATTTAACAATATATATATATATATATATATATATATATATATATATATATATATATATATATATATATATATATATATATATATATATATATATATATAAACTCATTATAGAGGGTGAACATTAGAGTAATGGACTGGATTGAAGAACCGGAGAGCCGAGTTCGAATTCCCGTCGAGTTTATTACAGTCACTTACGTGCAAATACCCTTGGGATAGGTATGATTTGAACTTTTCTCCCCGTCAGCTATGGGTAAACAGCAGAACAGAAAGGGTTCTGTAGACTTGGATGGCAATGAGAAGGAAAACTCTGGATTCAGAATTGTATGTAGCCCTGGCGAAACACATGCTATTCAGCTAAGGAAACGACCGCTCGCACTGACTTGACGATTCCGACTACAGTCGAATTATAACTCCTTTTGCCTAGTGTCCTAAAAATGGGACAATGGACATTAATGGGTTATAATTGGAAACCTATAATTAGTACAAGATTTTTATAAACATTTAATTAATAGTAGATTTCTTTAGGAGCTTATAATTAGGTACAGTCACCAACAATATTATTCGAACACGGATCAATTTTGAAAAATTTTATCCTTTTCTCAGAATGATGCCAGTTTTTTATTCGTTAATAAGCACAAAAAAAAATGGAATATAAAACTCAGTTTTCAGAATAATAAGTTAAATACAACAAATTTGACAGGCGAATTATGCAAAATAGGAAAACACAAAATTATTCGTACAGTATGAAAAATCTTCATGGGTATACGAATAAGTTCGTCGTTGACTGTGCCTCCACAAATTCGCTAAAAATGAGCATACAAGATGAAAAAATATCCCAAACTTAATAAAAACAAATCGTCAATATCTTTATTAACATTATTATTAATTTTTACGCTGAAATCACAATGATTCGAAAATTCTTCCAAAAATCAAATAATTGTTGGATTTTAATGAAATATTATGAGAAAATAAAAGCGGTAACTATAGTAAATTTAAATAAAATTACCTAAAATTAAATAAAACATTAGATTACGGAGAATATTTTCCTAATTTTTAAGATTACTGGGTAGTTAAAATTATATAAAAAGGCGCTCACGTTATATTCCTCAAGTAAATTTTACAGTTATGTCCCGCGTAGAAAAAAATTAGATGAAAATTCGGCATCTGTCAATATTTCTGAGATAAGCTACGTAAATAGCACCTTCATACTTTAATGACACCAGGAAGATGTCCAGCTACTACTGGACCATGTAAACTCAATGAGATCATCGATACAGTTCCATAATATATCGAACAGAGCATGGGTTCAAGATATTCGTATACCGCAAGCCAACATTCACCGAACAATACCTCAACTTCAACTCTCACTACACATACAGTGTAAAGAAAGGGATCGTCTACTGCCTATAACATCGATCAAGTCATAAGTGGCGACCCAGAATCATATGAACAAGAAATGGTCAGTATAAGCAGTAACCTACAACGTAACAACTACCCTGGATATATGGCAGCAGCTCCGACAAACGGGGATAGAAGAGTACAAGATGATAACAACATTCAGAAAACAGTTTCGGTTTGCCTACCCTATGTGAAAGAATTATCGGAAACAAATACAAGAGACCTGTGGTAACATCAGGACGACCTTCAAAAGTGGTTCAACACTTCGCAGACAACTCTTCCGAGTAGGACCCCCTCCCCCTGTAGAGGAAAACATGACTAAGGACTGTGTGTACGCCATTCCGTGCAGCTGTGGTAAAAAATATAAAGGAGAAAAAAGCCACCCACTTAAGTTAAGACTGTAGGAACACCGTAAAACCGTAAAACGAGGGGAAATAGAAAATTAGGGATAACTGACCACATATGGAGGGAAAAAGGAGATCACTGTATATATATATATATATATATATATATATATATATATATATATATATATATATATATATATGTGTGTGTGTGTCCCTCGGAAGATCTCTGAATAATAATTTATCATTGACAGTTTATTGATATTTTTCGGCCATTTTATGGAAAATAATTTTTTATTCAATCTTTAAAAAGTAAACTTCATTGTTTTTTTGGTGTGTTACAAAATAACTAAATTTTGAAAAATACCACACTCAAGGGTGGGGTGGGGGCTGAGAATTAAATACTAACATAAATACACTGTTAATGTTGTTTTCAAACAAATCAAATCGGTTTATCTAATTTCATTAACCTTTTTTTTGCAAATTATTATTAATAAAAATGCAATTAAGCTTAAATTAAGATATATTTAAACGTATTTAATTTAATCAATTTTTTCAAGCAAAAACTATAGCGAGCCTTAGTTCTTATTTACTTATTTTTGTCGGGGGATCTAAACATTTTAAGTAAATAAAGATTGCATTAGTGATTATTTTCTTTTTAAAGAAAGTGAAAGAAGCAAATATTTCTCCGTAAATGAATTTAATTACTTACTATTTTGAAAGAGAGTAGAAATAAGATGTATTGAGAATTTACTTTTGAAAATCGATTATGCTTAAATTTCAAGTTATTTGTATTAAAAAAAAAAAAAAAAGTAAAAAATCAAGAGTGCCAGACATGAGTTACGGTCAACATTAGTATCATGTTGAATATTTGTTTTACCAATTTAACTGTATTTTATTTAAATTGTTTTTCGAAAAATTAAGGCTCGCTATAGGTTTTGATTTAATAAAACTTAATTGAAAATTATTTACTTTTTTATGTTATTTACACCCTCCCCACCAAAAAAACACTGAAGTTTATTTTTTAAACATTGAATAAAAATTTATTTTCTATAAGATGGCCGAAAAATATTAATAAAATTAAATTTCTTCTTTTAAATTTACTTTGTTGTGTTAAAATTCATTTTTTTTAAGTTACGCTTTTATTTACTATAGGTATGGAAATACATTCAAGAGATAGAGATTTTTAAAAAAACATATAGCGTTTCGAAATTATCAGTAGAATTAAAAAGTCAAAACGATTGGAATAAAAATTATTCCCGTGCGTTTTTACTCTTTAATTCTGAGAATTTCAAATGCATTCTAATGAATTATTACGTATTTTTAATTTTAAAATGTCTTTGTAAATACAAATCATACGATGATAATTTTTTACAAATAGGTTGGTTGGGTGATACTGAGTCTTTATATATATTTATTTTGTCGTTAATTATTGTAGGTTTTAGTTTTAGCCGGACACCCACCCGCACATGCAGACAACTGTCCTATATATATATATATATATATATATATATATATATATATGAACCAGTCAGCACTAAAATTAGCTGCACACCCTCTGCTATTTAAGAGGTGCTCACATATGGTGGAAGTATTTGGGACACGTCCATTCAAAGATAAAGTGTGATCCCTGATCTTAATGGGAACATGTTTAATCCCCATGTCTAGGCGTTGAGTAGTTCTCCTTATGTAGTTGGCACCGCAACTACAATTGTATTTGTAAACAATTGAATTAACTTGAAGGGGAGGAGAAAATCCTTTCGCCTAAAAACGAAGCATAGGCCGGGTTTTAATCTAAGTCAAATCTCCTGTAGGGGCATGAACAGCAGGTACAGAAACTGGTTGCTTCGCTTTTAAAAAATGTCATGTAATATTAAGCTACACACTTTCAATTCTTTAATTAATATATATATATATATATATATATATATATATATATATATATATATATATATATATATATATATATATATATATAGATGGGGACATAGGAATCAACACAATATAGTGACGCACTTTCATACATCAATGAAATCTTCAAACCAAGATCGAATTGAGATGTGAAATTGATAATCACTATACAGTGCTGATTCCTATGTTTGTACTGCCTATAAAGTGTCTATATCCAATATCCTTTAAATATAGTCAACTTTAGACAATATATATATATATATATATAAACAAATAAAATAAAATTTCAGAAGTTCGTAGATGATATCCGCTCATTTAACCGTTATATATTTAAATGATATTGCTTAAAAGTCGTTATATAAAAGAACATTTTTGAGTTAAGTTATTTGATAACCCTACAACGTTTCTCCCACAGATGCAACGTCGCAAGCCTCTTGTTACTCTGTCGCTATTTCCATGGAAATTATCTGACAATATACATTCACTCATTCCCCCATTTCAAAACAGTTTACAGCTAAAAACCGCCATGCCACATTTATAGGGTCGG